GTCATTGATTCATTCAACATAATAACTAACATCCAAAAAATTATAAAAATTATCATTATTGTAGGTGATTCTACCTTGAGCCCTCACTATTTGCTTATCGAACAAGTATTCTACAGCTCTACACTATGTTCCAGGAGCTATTCTAGGCTCACAGGATACATTTGTGAGCCAGAGGAAGGGTGTGGACATGAACAGGTGATGCCTTCACACATAAAGGCAATGCTACGCTTGGAGGGTCTGCCCCTTGAGAAGGTCATGTAAAATTGCGTGGTCGTCAGAACAGGTTAAAGCAGTGAGACCTTCGAGCAGTGACTGGACCATATGGACCGATGCATTTATAAAAGGATGAGGTCACCCCTCTTCTTTTTCCCTCTTTCATGTGATGACACAGCAAAAACTCTCTCCCTACACGCTTGACCACCATCCTGAAAGTTCACAACATCCAAGACCATGAGATTAGAAATTTATGGTTGTTATAAATGATTCACCCCAAGAATCCTGTAATAGCAACATAAAAAGGAGTGAACCAGGCATTTCCTAGTTAGCAATGATTATTCAAAAAGTTCTAATCTTCATCCTAACTGATCCTAATGAGGAGCCTATTTCTCATTATTTGCAATCTGAAAAATAATAGCTTTTTTAGCTTGGGCCCAAAACCCACAAACAAATTTCCTGCATTCACTGGAAAATAGTAGAATACTTATGCTTCCATCACATTATGATGCATAATCACCTTATCATCAAGCACTTGACATGGTTGCTAATGAACAGTTTCCTTAGTATAAGCAATAACCGCAGCTTTCTTTGTATAATTTGGGAAACACGGCATATAACATCTTGGTTGATGTCGTGCATAGTTCAAAAGTTGCCAGCTAATACCACTGTTCTCACTAAAACAACGAGAAAAAAAAGACAAATGTGTGTGGGACACTTTCATATCCACAGGCTACTCAGGACTGTGACTCCAGAGAGAAAGGGAACAAAGGAAGCAAAACTACAGCGGCCACAGTTGTTTGGTGGTGCTTTCTGAACAGAAAAGAGGTGGTGCTTTGGTTCCAGGCAGAAGTCTAGCGGAGGTGAGAGAGCGGGAATGGCCACCTGGGAGGGAAGGCCAGGACAGCTAACAGTTAGTTGCAGGGCAGACAAGCAAAGGAAAGGGAAATTCACAGAGTTCCAGAAATCTGTGTCAGAATTGCTTAAAATCCCTGGCTGAACACCAGTCTACACGGAGTGAGACCCCAGGGACCAGACCATGAGCAACTGCTGGAGAAACAGCGACTGCCTGGAGCCTTGTGAACAGACTGATGCTCAGTGTTCTCTCAGAACAAGAAATGTCTAAGATCTGGACAACCAGAGTAGGTGCACACCAGGTGTTTAGTACTATTTCCATCTAATATCAGTGAACAATCAAAACCAAAATAGAAAAACTACTTCAGTAATACCAAATATGTAACATACTTTTGATAAATTTAACAAAAAATTTGCAAGCACATAGAGAAATACATTAGATTTATTATTCTGGAAACTACACACTAGTAAGGAATTCCTACAAATAAAGATATATATATATATATATATATATATATATATATATATATTTATTTATATTTACCATATATATATTTACCATATATATCCTATACCATGTATTAGATTAGAAAACTCAATGTCATTAAAATTTTAATTCATTAAAAGTTCAATTCTTTCTACCTTATCTCTTAGATCAATGTAATACTAATCAAAATCTCAATTGTCATATCTGTAGAAATTTATAAGCTTGTAAATTTTATATAGATGCAAGAGTTTAAAATAGTCAAATGCATTGTAAAAATACATGAAATTTGAGGACCACACACTACTGAAATGTAGGGTCTGTTTTTCACTTTGGGCATCATGACAATGCAGTACTGAAATAAAGGTAAAAATACAAATGAATGAAACCAGAGTGGGGTGTCAGCGAATGAGCTCACACATCTCCGGATGGTGTCACGATGGTGTCAGATTCAAACAATTCAGAAAGAATATTATTTTTAGCAAATAATGTTCTAATAATTATAGCTACATGCAACAAAAATGAATGTAAACCTTTACCTCATACCATACACAACTTATTCAAAATGGATTACATACTTGAATGTAAAAGTCAAAACTATGAAACTTCTTTTAAAGAAGAAAACAAAACAAAACAGGGTGTTATTTTTGCTTAAGAATTTGATAGAACACAGATACTAATTATTTGTACTTCATACAAATTAAGAGTACTGTTCTTCCTCTTGAAAGAATAACTATCATCAGGAAATCAACCAATAACAAACGCTGTTAAGGCTGTAGTGGAACACTTCATGTTGGTGGGAGTGTAGACTGATACAACCACCACGCAAATCAGTGTGAAGGTTCCTCAAAAAACTAGGACTAGGGGTTTTATTTGACCCGGGTATTCTTCCTTTTGGTATCATCCCAAAAGAGTTAAAGGCTTCATACCCCAGCAATACATAAACACTCACGTTTATAGCTGCACAATTTGTAATAGCTAATATTGAAAACATCATAGATGCCCACTAAAGAATGAATGGATAAAGACATAGGGTTTTTATACAGTGTAGTACTATTTTGCCATGAGAAAAGATAAACTCAAGACATTTCTCGGTAAATGGATGCACCTTGAGACCATATCCTTAAGTAAAATAATCAAACATGCATGTTTAAATACTGCACTGTTTCTCTTGTATGAGAAACCAAAAGTAGAAGACCAAAATGGATGATAGATATTGGAAAACAGGAAGAAAATGTTCAAATGGAAGGGAGAACAAAGGCGGGAGGAGAGGGAAGCAAAGGGAGGGACAGGAGAAAAAGAGAATGGAAGGAAGAGAATGTAAACAAAGCCTTTATAAATGGGAAGGGGAGGAGGCTCAAGGTTGGGTAGGGGACTGGAGAGGATTAAGACATGTCATGTACAGCTACCAATTCCCTATGATGAATGTGGTCACTATGTACTATAAACATTTACTAATAAAAATAAAGTTTAAAAAGGGGGAGGAGTTCTGTTCTTCAACATGTTTTTAAAGACACCAGCTTAAAAAAAAAAAAGACAAGAAAGAAAAACAAAAGTGAAGGTCCAGTAAGAAATAATAACAGTAACAAGATGCTAGCTCAGTATATAAGAATTAATTGTATTTCTAATATTAGCAAAACTCAACTGGAAGATACAATTTAAAACCATAACCACTCTCAGTTGGATCTGAAGGTATAAAATATTTTAACATAAATTTAACTCAAAATATATGCAAATCAAAAACTGACTGAAATTTTTAAAAACCCAATTAATAGGGATTGAGAATATGCTCATGCACTAGAAAACTCAGTATTATGCAGAAATCTATTCTTTCTAAAAGCAATTTAGAGGTTCTATTTATTCAAATTGAAATCTCTCTACCCTTTTGTATAGAAATTTATGATGATTCTGAAATGCACATTATATGGAAATAATCTAAAATGGTGGAAATGATTTCTTTTGAGACAGGGTTTCTATATGTAGTTCAGGTTGGTCTTTAACTCACTGTGTAGTTCCAAGCCTGGGTTCAAATTTGCAGAGTTACTTGCCTTATTATAAGTGTGCTTCACCCTGGCTGGCACATAGAACTCATTTTGAAAAAGATAAAATGAAAGATTTATAATATCTGATTCCTATACTTAATATAAGCTATATAAATAAATTAAAATGATTTTAGCAAGCATGTAGACCTAAAAAAATGGAACACATCAGAGACTCTAGAATAGATTTTTAACAAATGTGCTGACATAGTTCAATGAGAAAATATATGTTCCAATAAATGCTGCTGGAAAACTGGATATTCATCTATTTATATCTGTGCAAAAGAATCACCCCTTTCATAGAATCAGATGCAGTCGACCTGAAGATAATCATAGACAGACACGCAAAATAAAATTGTAATGTCTCTAGAGAAAAACATGGGAGGAATGTCTTTGTGATCTTGGTGTAAGCAAATACTACTTATCTGAGGCCTGAGAAACACTAACTGCAAAAGAAAAAAAAGATAAACTGGGTTTCATTAAAATTATAAAATATTGCTCTTTGAAAGATTAAGAAAAGTCATAATCTAAGAGAAAATATTTTAATTACCTGTCTTACAAGGATTTTATTCAGAAATGTAAGAATAAAAAGACAAACAACTTATTTTTTTAAATGGACAAAATATTTGAACAAGGACTTCACAAATCAGTACACATACCCCAATAAGTACATAAAAAGCACAATATTATCAGTCACGAAGGAAATAAAAATAAAACCACAATGATACACTGGTGTGCACTCATTACAGGGGTGACAGTGAAAGACTCAATGCTCAGTGCTGGCTAAGAAGTGGAAAACTCCCCCACCTTGATGATGGAGGCTTGAAATGGTTGGACAACTTTGGAAAATGGTTTGTCAATTGCTTTGAAAGGCAACAATATACCATAGTTACCTCAAGACTGACTGGTCCCACTCTTAGATTTTACCCAAGAGAAATAGAAATATATGTTCAGAAAATGACTTTAGATGAATGTTTGTAGCTTTTATTTATATCAGCTAAGAATATCCTTTTAACACACTCACACACGTGCACACATTCTCAAGTTTGAATATTAAAAAACAGAGCATTCGATCAAGACAATGCTAACGGGGAGATATTCTCAGAGCTACATGTGTATTTTAGATTATCTTTCCAAAGGTCTCTGTCATGTTCCTAAGAGTACTCAAACTACAGAAATGTATGCATTAGATCCTAGTGTGGGGATACACACCTGTAATTGCAGCAGTCCTGCAGAAATGAGGCAGAAGGGTTAGAAGTTCAAGCCCAACCTGAGAAACTTAGCAACTTGGTGAAAGTCTGTCTTAAATTTAAAAAGTGCTAGGGATATAGTACTAAAAGCAAGCAAACAAGCAAACCAATAAAATCCCCAAACGCCTGCTTTCATCAAATAAGTTAAAGAAAATGACAAACTTTAAAAAATTAGATTTTATTTGAAAACGTTGAGAGTTATGACAAGCATTTTAATGTACTTGGTAGTAATGTGGCAGAATTTACCTTATGTGAAAACACTTTTGAGTTGAGATGATAAAATATTCATCCACAGCAATATTATGCAAGGGTGGCATAAATAGCAATAAAAATGCTTTCATAAGTATACTGTGTGCCAGGCAACAATCTGAATACTACACAGATATTATTTAATATTCGTCCCACAAATGGGGTGCAGGTATGGCTCTGTCACTGATTAAGAAACACGACAAAATCAGGGCTCCATACAGAGCTTGTTACCTTCCTTTCCTCTGTGGTAGGCAGCATCAGAAGGCTGGGGTTCAAGTATGAAACCTCAGACACCACATGTGAGACCAGAGCAAAGGGAATGAGAAGGTGCCGTGGTATTCTCCTCTTAACAGGAGCAAAATTCTTCTAATAATGGCCCAGATACACATTAGTATTTCAAAACTGGGGCTCCAGGCTGAGATTAAAGGATTTTTCCAAATAAAGACTATTTTTATCTACATTTACATTATATTACATGTATATTACATATTATTTTATTGCATTTACATTACAAACAATTCAGATTATAAGAGAAAACATGATCCCACTTAATTACAAAACTTGAGTTGTGTTTACAAAAAAAAAGTGGAGAAACATTGTTATTAGATGACAAACAGTTTGAAAAACTTTAATCTTGAATGTCCACATTTGACATATTGAAGTCTTCAAGATGTGCTGCCTTAGAGAAATATGTTTCATTTTGGTCAATCCAGTGTTCTCCAAATATTTGAACACAATTTTTTTTCTCCATAAGTTATAATTTACCTGTGATATCCAATAGGACTTTGCATGAGACTCTAAAAATGGTTTCGATAAATCTACTGTCCCATCAGGCAGCTGCTAGTCACATTGTGAATCCTTGAAATGGGGCTAGTGCAACTGAGAAAATGAATTTTTAATTTCATGTAATTTCCAGTAATTAAAATTTAAATAGTCAGGTGTTTCAAGTGGCTGCCATATTGAAGAGCAGAGCTCTAGAACAATGTCCATTCCGAGACTACGTATTTGGAAAAACTATCACATAATAATCATTCTGTGTGCAGCAGATGATGTAAAATGATTGAATGACTTGGCCAAAAAAAAAAAAAATCCAAAGAACAGTCAGTATTTAAAGCCAAATTCATTCACTTCTAACTCCGCGTCCCCTGTATTCTTCTAACCTGCCTTAAAGATGCTACAGAGATATGCATTGGGTAATATGTTTATTTTTATTGTAACTATTTGCTGTCAGCATCTGTATAAATTTGAATTTTATTGCATTTGTTTGTTTCTAAAGGAAATTATATAGTTCCAAATGCTTTATGGATAATTGTTTTTGAGTGTAATTTTAAAACAAGTTGTAAGTAAATGCCTCCACTTTTTGATGGAGAAATCAAAACAAAGAGAAAATATGGTGAATTCTCTATCTGCTTTATATTGAAGACGTTTTAAAGATTTATAAGCAAAAATGGGTTAAAATAATTTTGATCACTTATATCAAATGAGTTCTCTTAGAGGAAAAGCATATTCACTTACTCAGACAAATAACATTTCTAATCCTTAGCATTTTTAATTCAATGCAATGTACAAATTGTCAAAGTCATATTCTGAAAGTTAGGATTTGATTTGCACAATGGTTTAATAGCTCAGTGGAAGGTCCTGAGTTCAATCTATAGTACCAAAAACAAACAAACAAACAAAACATCAGATGAAAACTGTTGGAAATATGAGTTTAGCTTTAAGCGCTTTACTTTTCGGATTTCAGTGATATGTACTGGCCCGTCTTGACAGGTTGTTTTATTTACTGGCAGTTTGAGAGCTCCAGTCCATCCAGACAAGACTCCATTACATGTAACAGCTGCATGGTACATGTCTTAAAAGTAATAAATATATTCCTTAAAACACAGAAAAAGACAAAGCAGTCATGTTTGATGTTCTTTCAAATTTTCTGAGCTTATTTTTCAGAAAATTATCTGCAAAATCATTTTTTGTAGTTCTAAATATTATGAAGTTTTATATTTATGATTGATGTATTAGGGAAATACTTTGTAGACTTTAATGACTACCCATTTTTCAGTGAAAAAATTGAGCAAGTGTTTTTAATATTTTATTAAGCATGTTAAATACCATTTACACTCTAATTTTAATTACATAAATGTTAAAGGCATAAAAACAAACAACTGAAAAATAATCATTGCTATGAACATTTGTCCAAGAAATAGTGTATATTTTTCTTAATTCTCCAAATTGTTTGCAAAGTGATTATGTTACTTTTAAGAAACAAAAACAATTATATTAATACTACATGAAACCTTCAAAAGTATAACTCAAAGGGGCATATTCTTCACCTAAATATATAATTTGGTATTCCAAGCATTGACTTAAGGTATGTATAAAACAGATAAATTAGAATGGGTTTTCCTTTTTAGAAAGGATTTGCATGGTAAAATGAAGTGAAAATTGTGAGCTAATTATGTGGTAAATTCAATTAGTGTAGTCACCTAATCTAAATTATTCAGGCTCATTGTAGTTCCAAGAAAGCAAGGCCACCATGCCTGGGACTCAGTCATGTGCAAATAAACACTTAGTAAATCTTGCCCGTAGTAATAAACAAAATTGATTATTTTCCTCCTATGCTGGCTGCTTGCTTTTTATGTGTGAGAGTATGAAGCATCAGATGATTTCCTCAATAGGTTTACTTTTAAGGAAGCTGTTTCTCCATTTAATGATGTTTAACCTGTATAACCGAGCCACAACTGCTTATTTTTAACACTATCTCTCTGAATGTTATGGGTAGCTGGAGCCACAGGTCAAGGACAAGTGGAGAACTTAAAATACTTTCTTTCTCGGGGAGGTATGGACTGCAGAGGTGGGAAATATATAGGCTGGCACCTGTTATAGTCTGTCTATAAAGCAATCTGCCTTATATCGATTTGAAACCAAGTCAGTGCTGCATCCCTGGAAATAACTAAGGATGAAAATAGAACCCACGAGCTAGAATTTTTGTACAAAAGACTAATAACCATACTCTGTGCTGCTACTTTGAATTCCTGTTCACGGGGGAGTACAATGCCAAGGTTTATACTTTGGGAAATAGAAGCTCTGGGTCCTTGTCTTCCTTTCCTATGAGTGGAACAAGGACATCCCTCTGGGTGCTTTAGGCTCTATTTGGGTAGTCTACTCACCTTCAGAAGGCAGAAAAAAAAAAGGCAGAAAATGTAACACCAACGATGATAAAATCACTAACCAGCAATTTCCTGTTGCCACTGTAACAAAACACCACAAATTTCTTTTTTTTAAAAAAAAAAAAAAAGCAATTTCTTCCCCCCTTTCACTGCAAAAAAGGAAAGAATAAGTGGGCTGGGTGGAAAAAAAAAGATGGGAAAAGGATAGATAGATATGATAGATAATCATAGTACTAATCTCTATTAGTATATCAAAAAGGACAATTTATGTTTCCATTATTTGGTCATTTTTTCATGCCTATATCTTGTAATCTGAGCAACTACTTTGAAGATAACAATATTCAATATATTAACCATTGTTAATCTATTACTTTGTTTTGAAATTCTGTATCACTGTTTTTATTATTTTTCATTAAAAAAACCCTCAAATTTATTCATTTACAAGTTTAGCAATCACAAGACCAAAATGAGTCTTACAAAATTCAAATCAAATTATGGGAATGGCTGGTTCTCTCTGGAGCTTCTAGGGGATAATGTGTTCCTCTTCTTTTTCAGCTGCTAAGGCTGCAGGCTTTCCTTGGGTTGTGGCCATAATATGCCAGTCTCGGCTGCCATCTGTATACTGCCTCTTCACCCCCTGTAGTCCAGTCTTCCTCCAACTCTCTGTTAAAAGATGCCTTGTGGTTACACTGGACACTTTGGATAATCTACTATAATCTCCAGATGCTTAATTTAATCACAAGTCTAAGGTGCCTTCTGCCATATAAGGGAACAATTACAGGTTCCATGAACCAGGAAATGGATATCTTTGGGGACTATTACTCAGCTTACCACATTGATAGTGATGGTTCTGACCCAAGTGTTTCCGTAGACAGCAGGAGTAATGGTACTGCAGATGGTGACAGAAATATTGATAAGACCCATGGTGAAGCATGAACCATGATGGTAGTGGAGACTGGAAAAGATAATAGTGATGAATGGCAGGACTAGGGACATCGGCAAAGGGGGTTTAGTCACTGCAAGGCAGACAAGACCTTTGACTATGGCTCTAAAGGACAGGCAAGGTGCCCAAATGGGATTAACTCCAGCCTGGCCTTCAACAATACCAGCTATTCCTACAGCCTAAAGGAACAGCCAAATTAGTGAGAGACAAAAATGCCACACTTGCAAGGAAGAAGATTAAGATACAGAAACTGCAGTTACACAACAAACCTTTCTAAAGTGTATAAACGGTGGACAGATGTGACCTGGGAAAGAATGGTCACACAATGGATTAGTCTGGATTGTAGATCATGAGTTTCTGATGTCATGAAAGTTAAGCTAATGGAAGAAAGGAGTCTTTCTCTGTGATCTCCCCAGGATTTTCTCTACAACTAACTTTTCCAGTTCGCATCAGGGAGGACTGTCACCTCCAAGGTATGTATGTGGTCTTTCTCTGTGATCTCCCCAGGATTTTCTCTACAACTAACTTTTCCAGTTCGCATCAGGGAGGACTGTCACCTCCAAGGCATGTGTGTGACTTGGGAACCACTGTGTGCATCCATCTTTAGCAAGGTAAATGATGTGTTCCCTATTTAGCAAGTTCTGGTGACTACAGGCAGTCTCTTTCTAGGGCACATCATTCTCCCAGTAACCTGATCCCTCAAGATGCATGAAGATTCTTCTGGAAGGAGAATTCCCCAGCATGATCACTATGCTCCAGTTGTGTTACCTTCCCTCTGAAGGTAAATGCTTCCCCTCTGGAGTTAAGGTAGCAGACATCTAGTAGCCAGGCCATGAATTTTAACAATTACCTTTTGCAATTTTCCGGAAAGATGATAATTACAGTACCAGGCCAGAAACACACAAAAAAGACTTGTTCTGATGCAGCAGATCATTGTTTTGAAACTCACTCCATCTTGGTATGTTAGCTGCTGTGAATGCCTCTAGCTCCATGTCCCTACAGACTGAAAATAAAATTTCACAGGGAGAAGTTTTCATCAGCCGTCTCCAGATATTTGCAGGTAGAGGCTCAGATCTGTGCCTTATTTCAGCATGCTCAGCACCCTGTCCTGAAAAGTCTGAGTTTATTAGACATCTATTATAACTGACATATTGTTGCAGTGGGGGTGAAGAGATGCATTAGACAGATGATCTTAATTGGCTTTCTTCCAAAAGAATTTTTTTTAAGAAGAGACAGCTGAAATTCATTCACATTTACAATTAGTAAAACTTTCTTTCATTATTGAAATGCTTGCTGAAACAGCAGCCACATCAGGGTGACAAATCCCGTTATCATGCTTTCTGTAATTGTCTCCCTAAAAGACGCCTATTGAGAGCATTGTCTGCATTTGTGTATGAGACTGACAATCAAGCTCCAGGCAGAGGGTAGAGGGGCATGTGCAGCCTGCTCCAAAACGCTTTTGTGTGTGTATGTGTGTGTGTGTGTGTGTGTGTGTGTGTGTGTGTGTGTGTGTTTGTGGTGGTGCAGTAGAAAGATCTGAGATTCTGGAAAAATATAAGGATGCACTATGCGTACTAACAAGATCAGTCATCAGGCATCATTGGGAGTCTCATGCTTCCCGCCTTTAGTTTTCTATTTTCTCTTCTTTTTTTCTCTGAGCATCGGCAGATGCTATTTGTTTGTCAGGCTGTTACTGGAGAAAATGAGGGTGGGGAGGGATCATTTTTTAAGTAAGCAGTTAACAGCTGAACTCACATGGCTGACAATAGAATCATGATGAAGGGTGAATAGAAAAAAAGTGTAAGATTATCCCTGAAGAGTCTCGTGGAATGAACTGCTTCTTGAAGCAACAGGAAAGGGGCTGCCTGTTTTGGGTCTCACATTTCTTCTTGGCCAAACCTGGGGAAGGAGACTCAACAGACCACCCTCACTTGAAAAGTGAATTTGGAAGACTGAAAAGAATTTCTCTGCAGGAGGGTTCAGACCTTTGAATGTGGAGTGGATACACAGAGAGGAGGGAGGATGGACAGGGAAGAAGCTTCAGTGAAGCAGCGCTAATAAACTGCTCTTTGGGTTCTCCTGGGACAGGGTCTCCTTTTCTTTCACCGAAGGAAGTCTCTGAGGGATCCTGTTTAAACACTTTGCTTTATTTAAGGATGCCTTCAACAAGGACCATGTTGCTTTCCTTCACTTTGCGCATGGGCAATGCCCTTCTCCTCTGCCAAGTCACCTAGAATCACATTGGCTGAGAAAATCCATGCCTGATCTGCTCTCTGTTGAGCTCCTTGTAGTTCCAAAGCCCTGATTCCAGCCCCATGAGACCACTGTCCTCACAGTTGCATTTGCTTGGGCTGAGAGAGGGATGTGCTCAGGGTCAGTTGCTGCTGGGGCACAAGGGGGCAGAGGGCAGGTGTACAACTTGAGGTGGAGGCTTAGGCAAGAAATAGCATGGCTTGAAAGAAACCATCAGAACTATGAAATCAGAATCTCTTTCCATAGCATCCTAAGATACCAGTAATGAAGTCTGACTGTTGCTTGGTCTTGCCTTTGATACATTTTCAAGCCTTTTGTGTTGGTACTTAGTACATTGTGAACTTTTTATACCTTGTATAAAAATACTTCCATGATAGTAAGCTCATCTTTCCCATGATCACTTCAGGATTTCCAAGCCAGCATGTTGCTGGCCCATAATAGATGCTCAATAAATTGTTGATGAACAAATGAATGCGCTAACTCAGTGTTGCCAACCATCATGTGAAGTTTCTAATCTTCCCACTGCTCAGAACTATAGTAACAATGTTATGTAAAATACTGCCTTTGATCCAGATCCTGTGGCACATGTCTATAATCCCAACTACTCAGAAAGATTAGGCAGGAAGATCACTAGTTGAGCTCAATCTGGAAATATAGTAAAACCCTATTTTAAAATTTAAAAGTATAGAAAAAAGGCTCATTAGTGAGACAAGAGTAGCTTGTTAAATCCCCATCTCTACCACTGGCCAAAAAAGGGCTCAGTGCTCCTGGGTTCAATTCAGTACTAAAAATAAAATAAAATAAAATTTTAAAAAACACCAAACAAGTAAACAAAAACATTTTGCTTTTGTGGAATTTAAGAGTCAAGTATAAGAGACAGATAGACTTGGAACCCAAAAGTTTTGTAACAGCTGTGATAAAAATATGCTCAAGGCAAAAATCCTTCTGTATAAAATGGCTTTAGAACTGAGTTCTGGAAAACAAGTTCAAATGGTCCAAGTATCCAGGTCGTGGACTTGTTGACCCTAAACTTAACTCAACATTAAGACAACATTCACAACTCATGCTCATCTGCTATGACATTATTTTGCTACATCTGCTATTTTGACACTGCTATCAAAAACTCTTAGAACCAAGATACCAGCTCATTTCAACAGATTAACACTGCTATCTAAACTATCAACCCCACAAGTCTTTGGTCTGTTATCTGAAGTGTTCTTACCTTTGCCCCACTCCCATCCAGACCAGCAGAGAAGCCAAGGAGAGGATTGTAAAGGTTTCCGCCTTCAGAAATTCCAGAAAGCCACTGCTCTTCAGATACAGATTGAAGACAAGGTTACAGGTTGACACACCTTCATCGGCAACCAACAGTCTACTCTCCTGTTTAGCAATTTTAGAACGGCCACTGTTCCAAAGGATTCTAATTGTACTTTCCTAATTCCCATTTACATCCTCACACTCATCAGAAAATACTTCTTTCCCATTTTCCCTTTGCCAAAACCATTATGTTATTTCCCTTAGAACACTCCAATCAACGTGGGCAACAGGTTTCCTGTCTCACAGATTTCCTAAGGACATTTTGGCATCAAGCCTCCCAGATTCCTTTCTTTTTCTGACCAGTTTTGACATATGGTTTGTATTTATGGATTTATTGATGTGTGTAAATTTCCTATCAAAAGGCATTCTTTACCTTGTTAGATTGTAACCTCCTGCCTGGGAGGAGTATCCTTTCTCTTCTCTACTCCACACAGCTGAGCAAATTGCCTGAGCAAATCTCAACAGCCATGCGGAGCAGTGACAAATGAAACAGTGTTCTCCAGCCTCTTCTAGGTTCTTAATGATGCCTGACATGCCTTTATTCATCCTTGTTCATTGGTCCAACCTATCAGTATTTTTTGTGATGGCTAATTCTATGTGTCAAATTGGCTGTGCTATGGTATCTACCTTAGTTGGTAAAGATATTTTTCAGATGTGGCTAACATTTCAATTGGTAGTTGGAGTAAAGCATGGGATATCCAAACAGCTGAAAATCTTAAAGGAAAAAAAACTAAAGTCCACCCAAAAGGAAGGGAATCTTCCTGTTGTCCTATGCAGTCAGACATACCCTATGCATTTTAGACTTGCCAGCCTCCACAATGTTGTGAATCAATTGTGTAAAATCTCTCCTTCTTTTTATCTCTTTCTCCTTTCCTATCTCGCTCTCTCTTCTATTTTTCTGAACACTGAATAATACTAACGTACACATAAGCAGCTATTAAAATACTTTTTACCCTTCTTTCTCAATCCCCCCCCCACCCTCTGGAAATCACAAGAGGCTTTACTTAGATAACTGGAACCTTAGGCAATGCAGCCTGACTCAATTCAACCAACACACACACCAGTTCTGATTTCCTCACACTTATGTGTCCACCAGCACCTTTCTTTGACATTTATAGAACAAAACTAGAACACTGGGATTTGTTTATGA